GGTCCGAAGGCGAAGTCGTACTGCTGACTGTACAGAGGTGTGACAGCAGTAAGGTGTTTCCTTCAGACAACCAGCATGACAGCGATGCTGCCTTCCCACAAGGAGGGGTGGGGTTAGAAAAGGTCGACCCTAAAAATGCACACCTCGCCTTACCTCACGGATTTCCGTCTCCGGCGGTAAGGCTCTTTGAAGAACGGAGCTAACACGTCAAAAACCTTCCACGAAAAGGCCGTGCGCGACCGGCCTCAAGCAGTTGTCCCCTGGGCAGTGCGGTCACGCTCTCAGATCGCTGAGACCGCCTCTAATCCAATTTCCTTTTCAGGTACCTCCAGAAGAACCCTTCGACGGTGTGGGCAACCGGGAAGTGATAACCGCCCTCATACCTCTAACAGCACCCAAGACCACTATTTTTAGTGGCTATCTTCTTAACATCCTACACAATCAAACTCTGTCTATCACTAGAACTCGGAACATTTTCCCTCTAAGCTGGTCACTAATAAGCGCATGATAACTATCGTAATAGGGGGTTGTGAAAATTGTTGAATATTTGGTGTTTTAAGTGGGATTGGTCCGTGATATCGATAACATTCAACGATCTCCATAACCCCCAAGCTGATTATCGGTTATTTAATCAACTGTAGTTTGTGTGTATGCCAAGCCTTTCATTGTGCTTTTAGCACAAAACACGTCTGGCACAATAAGGTTCCAAGAAATATGGTGTTCAAAATAAAATGATTATATTGTTAAAAAATAAAGGTTTTTCATACATAGATCCCTTTGGGCTGGAATTTTGCTCGTACTCACAGACCCAAACAGGTAGTTTTCTTAGAAATTCACTCATCGAGCCTTCGACCAAAAGGTTTAATCCATGAGGCGGTGGCGCGAAGTCACGAGGTGCAATTAAACGATACCTGATGACCAATGATAGGCCTATTTATCCGCAATCGCATTTTCTTATTTATGTGGGGTATATTTTGGTGCTCAATAATACTAATATTTCTGTGTTCAAACAGACGAATAATAACTAAAATTTATTTGCGTCTTTGAAATGCTAAGCTGGCATATAATTACAACGAATTCCAATTACATTCATTATGCAAGTATTTTCAACCCACTTTAATTTTGAATTCTAAACATTACAAGTTGTGAGTAGCTGACAAGAACCTAACAAAATCAAGTGGGCTCGTGTTATTCTGCTCGATTCTTTATTCTTACTCTTTCCAAGTTAGAAGAGAGGTAATCGTATTGAAAACGCATCAATAAAATGTATTATTTGATATAATTGAAGTAAAATTTTAAGTCTTAAAATTATTTCCCTCATATTCATTCCTTTTCTTCGAATCACCTCTGTGCTTAATATTTTTCAATGTCATCAGAGTTGGTGATATACTCTTGATATATCAAGTATAAAGTGGCTCTCAGAACTAAATGAGACTAGCTAGGGAACTATTGAATATCGGTAAGCACTGAATAGCTATTTCTTTCTAGTTTTAGACTTTTCACTAGTAGTACTCTCTCAACCTTATGGCATTGCGACGTCAGTTAAAAATTAAAAGGCCACTCCAATTAATAGTAAAATAATGAATCGACAATAAATAGTAAAATATGTAACAACATTTTAATAGGAAGCTATGATTAATGGAGTAAGTCAAATTGAAGGTCTTACAGTAACTAGTATAAGTCATTAGTAGTTTGGAGTACGGACCATTGCTATGGACCCACTAACTTGGTGTTGTCGCTGTCACCTTGAGAACTGAATATTTTGAGTATTACCACTCATCCACTTGATGGTAGATACGACGTTGACATTTCAAAATCCTTCAAAATTGTTAATGAACAAACGATCTATGCTCATCTTGCCTTGTTTGTTAATTCATATTTCTAATAGCATATCTCCATTCGTTTCAAAATTGTCTTCTAGGATATTCACATTATTTAGAATATAAGTATTTAATTACAAACGCTTGTTATAATCCTTTCATATTTGTCACCGACCATTGTGGATAAAAACTTCGAAATTTGTGAAATAGATAAATAATCGTTTATACTTGCGTTAGTGCAACTAATATTTAAAACGACTAAAAGTAATCATTCGTATGATCAAACTTGTCACTTGTTCATGGTTTATTTCATAAGAAGGAGAGGGAGATTGTGGAAAAAGAATAAAGCAACTATATTTCAGATTACTTGAGGGAACATACATCTGTGGCAGGCTCTATGTTGACTTAAACTAGCTATACAGTCGGGTTATTGACTAACTAATTACATCATTATTGTACTGAAATCAAAAAAACGTTTTTCGTTTGATTACCATATAAATCTATTTTGAATATGAACATATTTGTATTCCATTATACTGACTATATATCTGTCAACTAGTAAGTTGTTTAAATCACTTAAAGAATTGGCTAATGCTTAAAAGACAAAATTAAAATGTTGATTCACTTGTAATTTTAAATAAAATCTGGTATTATACCATGTTTATTTTATTAAGTTTATATAAATTTAAAACATGAATAATTACATATTATGTACTGTTACATTAGTTTATAAATATTTTGTGTATTTATCTAAACAAAAGTCATTGAGATGTAGATTATTTGCCGCTTGATATCAACAAACTTAAGTTAATTGACCAATTCACAGTTGTATCAATCTATGAAGCGGGTACTAGGTAAGGGTGACAAATCAATTGATGAAGTAGTGAAACCTCATCAGTTGAGATGACTGAGACATGTGTTACGTATGCCCAATCACCAACTGTACCGACATACGATGTTTTATGGTGTAGGAATGGGTTGGAAGGAATCTAGGGGTGACCAAACCAAAACATGGCACAAATCTATGAAGTCACTGACAAGTGAACTGAGTGGGTCATATTGGTAAGTGTAGACTAACTGGTTGGGACCCGTGTGACGATAGCAACCAATGGTCAGAGACCTTGAACGACATGGCTCAAAATGGTTTGCAATGGCGCAGGTGCATCCACTCTTTGTGTTCTCTCAAATTCTAATCTTCGAAACTCTTCATGCCCTTTTTTACTCTGTCCAAATTTATTTCACTGCATTATACTCCTTGAATAAAATTTTCAAAGCCTAATGTTTACTGTTACTGCTTATACTCTTACTACCTCTACAACTATGGGATTTGAATCGACAACTACATCGCTGTGCTAATATGGTATGGCAAGTGGAACTGATGTACGTACGTACGAAGTTCTATGTTGTTACTGATTGACTGACAATCCATGAATATAGTGTATAGATGAATTTAAATGACGTGGCTATGTGTACCTAGTATTTTAATTTTGATAGTCTGGAGATGGTTAGTAGGAGATCTTAATTCTACTACACCCTTTTGTGTTTTAGCAGAATGTATTGTATTGTCTGATTGTTTTGCGAATCCCATTTTTATTCCTAATTACTTATTTGTTTTGTGATAGATAATTCATGATCAGACTCTTTTTATAAGCCATTTTATGCGGAAATGACAGCTATAAATCTTTAATATATGTAGTTTGTTGTTTGACCAGTGATTCCTTCTTCTGCTATCTAGTCAGTTAATATACAGTGATCGGCGTCTTGTATAAATAATCTGTTCGAATATGTCAATCAATCCCATATTTTATCTATTGATCTATTATGATAAGACAAACGTATTCCCTTTAAGATCTAGACATATTCTTTTTGGCACAACATTTGAACGTAGCAGTACTAAGTATGATGTTTACCACTACAGGTAGGAATTCATAATCACACGTTCAATGGTAATAATAATGTACAAACCTACTTTAGCTTACTAGAATCCGTCACATGTTTATATTAAGATAACATAAACTTATACAAGCAACGTAATATAACAATTCCAATGAAACCTGCAAAACTGTTCACAATTTTCCACTAGTGTATTGTAATCAGGAATCAGTTTGTTGGTTTTAATGAGACTGTAGATTTGTATCTAGTAGCTGTGATCTGAATTTGGGCTTTCATATACGGAAAGCTTGTTTATAAATGGTAGTTGACTCAAAAAAGCGAATATTTTACTTGAAGAATTTTTCAGATTAAGAAACTTACTTTTAAGGGGTTCATTCAGGCTATTGTTGGCTTAAAGGTCTATTATATCCGTTTAAAGGTCATGATTAGCTAGATTTATGTCAAATAAACTAGTCCCAAGAATAAACAGTGGGGGCAAACTCCCTAAAATATTCAAAAATGGTTTGGAAATCCATTCTAACGTGCTGAATTTCGGCGAATGTATTCACGAGTAAATTGCGACGAAAATACTTGCCTAATATTGAAATTCTTCAATTTATTTTACCAAAAGATTGAGTATTATTTAAAACACTGTTTTCGAAGATTCTAACTTAAAGAGTTCTAACAGTTCCTATCAAATTCCATTACAAACTATTTGGTTGTAAAGTTTAACCAGTAAATGTGCCGTTTTTAATTCAATTGAATTATATAGATTTGCACTTAACTCCATAAGTTAGCTAGCACATCAATTTTTAAATCACAAAGATTCTATGCTTGTACTTTTTGACTAATTATACAAGCGTATGTATATTAAACACTTGTAGTTCGACTTTGAATATTATATATGGTAAGTCTATATATATATATATATATATATATATATATATATATATATATATATATATATATATATATATATATATATATATATATATATATATATATATATATATATATATACAAAGTTAATTAGGATCTACATTTTAATACTAAAGTCAAAATGGAATTGTGACTTCATATTTCTACAAATAATTTCACTTTTAATCATCTTCATACATATTTTCAAGTGATCTCATAAATTGCATATTATATAATAGTGATTTCAATTTAACTCAAAATTCATAGTTCTTCTTACTTCTTCATTAAACTATCACAGTTACAATTGATCTTCATGTCAAATCAAATAGTGTAAATATTCAATTGTCCACTGTTTATGTACTTGCTTACTTACTTACACCTGTTACTCCTCATGAAGGAGCATAGGCCGCTCATCAACATTCTCCATCCAACCCTGTCCTGGGCAATCCTTTCCAGTTCTTTTCAGTTATTATTCATTCTTTTCATAACTGTTTCTATTTCTCGACAAAATGTGTTCCTTGGCCTTCCACTTCTTTGCTTCCCTTCAGAATTCCAAGTTAGGGCTTACTTCGTGATGCAGTTTGGTGATTTCAGTAATGTATGTCCTATCCATTTCTATAGTCTTTCCTAATTTCGTATTCATCTGGAATCTGGTTTGTTGTTTCCCACAGAAGGCTATTGCTGATGGTATCCGGCCAATGGATGTTGAGTATCTTGCGTAGACAGCCATTTATAAATACTTGTACCTTCTTGATGATTGTTGTAGTAGTTCTCCAAGATTCAGCCCCGTGCAGTAGAACTGTCTTGATAGTGGTTGACGGTTGTTTTAGGTTTAATATGTTCTTTAATTGTAGGGATGTTGTTCTTGCTTCGCCGATCGTCGCTTTTACATCTACATCTGAACATCTTTGTTCATTGATGGTGCTTCCCAGGTACGTGAAGGATTCTACATCTTCCAGAGTTTGGCCATCAAGTGTGATTGGGTTGGTGTTTTCCATGTTGTATTTGAAGACCTTGGTTTTTGCTTTGTGCTTGTTGAGGCCTACTGATGCAGAGACTGCTGCTACGCTAGTTGTCTTCATCTACATTTGTTGATGTGTATTGAATAGGAGGATTAGGTCATCTGCGAAGTCTAAATCGTCTAATTGGTTCTGAATTGTCCATTGTATTGCATGTTTTCCCTCAGATGTCGAGGTCTTCATAATCCAGTCAACCACCAGAAGAAAGAGGAAAGGAGAGAGTAGGCAGTCTTGTCCGACTCCTATCCTTACTTGGAATGCTCTTCTAGAGTTACTGCCGGTTCCAAGCCCGGGTAAAGGAGGAGGGTTGAGCATGGGGTTAGCGACTGCATTTCGTAGAAAGCTAACTCGCTAAAAGAAACGCTAACTGTTTATATAGTGAAGATTTTATTGTCTCAAACCCTTAGTTACACATATATGTATAGATAAGTAAGGCTTCATGCATATTCTTAGGTTTAGGTTTAGTAGTGAGTAGTATTTATAAATTAGGCCAAATATCATATCTTTTTCTTTTTTAAAATAAAAGTCAAATCAAAATAAATAAAATTGTTTAGTTGCTTACTATTTATTTATGTATTACTACTTGTTCAAACATGTGTATGACAAACTGATAGAAACATAGTCGATGAGATGAGAACAAAATTAAAGTACAATATTATGTGTTTTGTAAGTACTGAATTTGTAGGTTGGTGGTAATAAATAAGACGAATAAAAAAAAGTGTGTTTTAGTAATAAAATACCATATATTTTCTATATTTAATCTTTATGTTTATTATTTATACTACTGTTTTCAGTTCTGTAATGTTTATTTTAATGATAATAAGCTCATCTTACTATACTAATTTGATATACTAAATTAAGCTAATACATATTCAGTTCAGGTTCCTACATCGGTTATGATTGATTGAATTGGAGCTTTAAAATATAGATATATATGTAGATATGGTGAACCAACCTCCACCTCGATGCGTGATGTTTGTTAATGTAGTAGTCTATAGGATGTAATCTAGGGACAGAAAAACCAAGACATAGCGTCGACCCATGAAGTCATTGACTTTTGAACTGATCTATGTTGATAGGTGTTTACGATTATAGACCACTTCATCGATTTTCAAATTCTGCTCAGCCTCAGTAGGTTAGTGTCTCACGAAATCCTGACACAGATTCGGAAGCCTACCTTGATTTAGGCCGAATTACATCACTTGTAGCGTAGGGGAGACGTTCATCTATTAGGCAAATGATGAGTTTATTGTTCAGCAGTTTCCTTTATGCTACTTTATGGATGTGAGATATGGTCTTCAAAGATAGAAGATATTCTTAGTTTACTAACATTTGGTCATAGGTGTCTTTGATGCATTTTTCAGTCGTTTGGTGATCATCGCTTGACTAATGCCAAGGTTAGATACAGGATACTAGGTCAAGAATGTCAAATTAAATAATAAGGTATTAAATCTTTATCGTATAAAGTGGTTGAGATATATGTTGTGTATGCCAGACCACCGTCTACCTGAATATGAGATACTAGCTAGTGTAGAAGTGGACTCAAAGGAAGCTAGAAATGGTGAAAACAAGACAGGTTGTCAGTTCGTGAACTCATTGATCGTTGGATTAAGCCATATTAGTAGATGTTAACTATCTAATTGTTGTCTATAAAACTGTTGTAACGATTGGTTAGAGACGTTGTGTGATATAGTTTAGAACCAGTTGCATTAGCACAGGTACACTTACTCTGTTTCAAAATTATCTTATACTTTATATTCCATGGACATATTCATTTTCTTTAAATCATATTATATATACCTAACGTTTTCTCACGATGGCCGATACTACTATCACTACTTTTACTACTCTGGCGTTTGTTTTGATACTTTTGTCTCTCTGTACTGATATGATGTAATAAGCTGATACACATATGTACCAGGTTCTTAAATTGCTTATTGATTAACTAAGGTGTGGAGAGTTGCTTGCTATTTTTCTTATCATAGAATTAATCATAATTCTTATTTTACATTTCTAACATATGATGAAATAGGACTGGAAAAGAAGATACTTCATTCTATACAAAGTTCACAGTCAAAATAAAACTGAAATATTTTTTGATTATTACAAAGATGAAACTGTGACAAAATTCAAGGGTAAGTGTTATGATTAATTTATGATTACCTACAAATGTACATTATTACAATTTTTTAAAATTATATTGTTTTTTTTTAAAACCCTATAGCCTTCAAGTCTCATAGTGAGCACTTAACATTCATACTATTGAGTTAATATCCAATAGTTTACATTTCTATGTATATTGTTCACTTTAAACTATTCACACTTTTGCACAAAACTTAAACAAGAGTTGGAAATTGTTTGAATTATCCCATTGTTGATATTTTGACTACGACTGGATAATTCTCAGTTGGAATAAGTGTATTCTGTTTAGTTTACCTCAATATAACCATGATGCAAATTTATGAGTCTTAAGTAGGAGGAAACATGCATCTTAAATTCCACTACTAACTACATTTAATCTATTTTATAGAAAGAGTTATAGATATTGTTAAGTATGACGAAATAGTGAAATTTAAAATTACTTGTTACACAAAACAATTTTGTGATAGTGACTCTCGGTGTTCAAGGAATACTCTTTTTCCAAGTTGCTCACAACATAGTGGAATTTCAGCTCATGAATGTTTTATCGTTAGTGTGATAAACTTATTTATCTTAAAATGTAATGGAAAGTTGAATAAATTTATGCTTTAATTTTAATGTTGGATGAATGTATTCACCTTAAATTTGGCTACCTCATTAGATTATTAGTTAATACTCCACAAAGTAGTTACCCTTCAATGTGTATATCGGCTGGGATACTGCCTGGGTCAGTTAGTCAATCAGTAACAACATAGAACTTCGTACGTACGTACATCAGTTCCACTTGCCATACCATATTAGCACAGAGATGTAGTTGTCGATTCAAATCCCATAGTTGTAGGGGTAGTAAGAGTATAAGCAGTAATAGGAAACATTAAGCTTTGAAAATGTTATTCAAGGAGTATAATCCAGTGAAATAAATTCGGAAAGAGAAGAAAGAAAGGGACATGACGAATTCTGAACATTAGAATTCGGGAGAACACAAAGAGTGGATGCACCTGCACCATTGCAAACCATTTTGAGTCATGTCGTTCAAGGTCTCTGACCATTGGTTGCTATCGTCTCACGGGTCCCAACCAGTTAGTCTACACTTACCAATATGACCCACTCAGTTCACTTGTAAGTGACTTCATAGATTTGTGCCATGTTTTGGTTTGGCCACCCCTAGCTTCATTCCAACCTATTTCTACACCATAAAACATCGTATGTCGGGGCATTTGGTGATTGGGCATACGTAACACATCGCAGCCATCTCAACTGATGAAGTTTTACTACTTCATCAATTGATTTGCCTGGGTGGCATAATCGAAGCAGATGGTTTTCTTAAGGCGCCACACCTTGAACCTTTGACCTAGAGGTCTAATCTCCAATGTATTGGAGCAACGTAAGGAGATGCAGTCCTATGGTAGCCATTGATCCACATTAGGTCCACACTCCATTTGCCCCCTCAGGATCCTGGAGTCCATGTAAAACATTGGTTTGGATTCAGGTTTTTCCAACAGTACTAAGTGGATCCTCTGTATCCATCAACCCGGCCAAAGCGTCGTACATTTGCTTTTCGTGTTCTCAATTTTGTAAACAACACTCGTGTTGCCAGAAGGCAGTGAGTAGAACTTCCCTGATAGTGGCTCTATACGCGTGGCCATAATACTTAGTTAATTTATATATTCTCACTAAATATAGTTCGGAAATAAGTAATTTATTCTCCATTGTAGATAATATTTTCACTACTATTTATAAACTTTATCGTTCCAAAAGTGTTTCTTTCTTCACATTGTCTGTTTCTTTTATCGTATCCCTAGAAACAATCATCTTTTAGTTTGTTGATCAAGGAAAAGAGAAAAAAAAGTTTTCTGTCCTAAAAAAAACTTACTTTATCGTTTCTTTGTTATAAGCATTTTTAAATGATGCACATTCAATGTGGTAGACCTAGACAGACCAAACACTGTGTATATACATACATATTTTCTATCTTGACAACAACAACAACAAAAAAACGTAGACTTATTTCAATTGTGCTACATTTTTTTTGTCTTGAAAATTACAATACTGACAAAAACCTGCTATAATAAGCAATAAGTTTTAACAAAAGGAAAACTCTAATTTAGATTGTATGATTAAAAAAAACCTTATTAAGATCAAATGATTAAAATGTTAAAAATTCAATGGATACAAAGCAAAAAAAAAACGAGATGAAGAATGTATTGTGTTTCTTATTATCATGTTTAAACCTTTTACTCTACAAGGTCTGTAAAAAATTGTTGAAATTTCATAGTTTACATCATGTACAAATATTATTGACAACGAAAATTCACTGGTGAGACTATAACTTATGGACGACCTTTGAATGACACTGAAGTGACCTTGAGACTGGACACGTACTGATAAGAATTCAATGAGGGTTATAAACCAGTTAGAGTTATGTTTTACAGTTGATGGTTAGAGTTAAAAATTAGATCAGCTCTAATACTAAAACGATATTTAACTATATGGATGAATGAATTTGGCGCCAAAATACATGACCTGTTATCTTAAATCCGATTGGTTCGTCCAAATTTATAGTCTCGCCGTTTCATCCATGTATGGTAACAGTCAATATCTGATAGGTCCCCAAATGTATTCTTCATAGTCGATAGAGGCTCAGAAACTCCAGGAAACGTTTTGTCCAATCAGTGTTGAATAGAAGTTGTGCAGTAACATCTAGAAAAGAAAGAATCACGTTTCATCGTTTTGATTGAATGTTATCCTATACTGTTACTGTGTTTAGCATGGTTTGAGAAGTTTCTAGAAGTCCAAAGTCGCGCATAACCCTATATATATCCTTACGTTTTTGTAAACAAACTAATCTTAAAGTAAAGCTTTTACCCAATTCGTGCCTTCCCTCTGTTTCACTTGACGTGTAGTAGCAATTCAGTTATAGGAACCGGATAGGAAGGCAAGATTAAGTGGTATGGTAATAGACTTGTCAGCGTCCACAACCCAACCACAGGTCGAACTTAGAAACCTAAAGTTTCGATGTTGGGCGACCATACTCCATTGTAATTGGTGGGTTATTGCCTCACATTCGATATAATTGAAC